GCAGGCAGGCAGAGGGAGAGAAAGAAGCAGGCTTCCCACTGAGCAAGGAGACCAATGTGGGGCTGGATCCCAGGACACTGGGATCATGACCCAAGCCAAAGGCAGCCGCCCAACTGATTGAGCCACCTAGGCACCCCTCATATAAATAAAATCTTTAAAAAAAAAAAAAAAATCTAGGGAAATTTGGACACATACTGTGAGAGAGCTCCCTGTGAAGAGGAGTAGAGACCAGAGTGGTGTGTCTACAAGCTAAGGACCACCAAGGACTGTCAGCTGTCACCACGAGCTAGGAGAGGGGCATGGAACAGATTCCCCTCAGAGTCCTCATATGGAACCAACCTTCCTGAAACCTCCACTTTGGAATTCTAGTTGCCAGAACTGTGAGGAAATAAACTTCTATAGTTTTAAGCCAGCCCCTCTATGGTACTTTGTTACAAAACCCTTGGAAACAAACACAAGTCCTTACCACCATTTGACATTTATTTTCTTATTTGTTTACTGTCTGTGTTTCGCTACCGTGACTAGCACATAGTAGGATGCTCCATCATTTGCTAAATGGATGAACGAATGGCCTAAACGTCACTGATTTACTGTGGGAAACAGAACGCCACAACGACCACCGGTGCATGTTCGTTCAGACTCCAAGATCTCTGAGAAAACTCGGATTGCAGGGTTAAAAATAACGCGAAAGGATCAGAGTGAAATGCGCTTGGGATGTGTGTGGTCTGTTCTAAAGTACACAACAGAATATGTTTTGTAGATAGGAAGCCAGCTGTAAAGAGCACACTGTGCACTCCCCTCTTTGTTCCTTTATTCTCTTTTAAAGATTCTTATGTGCTTGACTCATCCTGGGTATGTGGAGGAATGTGCCTTACTACGCCCCTGCTGTAAATCATTATAGATCTATATCGCTGTAAAAGGTATATAAGAGTATGGAAAATAAACCTCAGCACCTTGGGCTGTTTGCCTGGGGTCCCCTGTGCCTCGCTATACTGTCGTCTCTTTTTCTCAGTTCCTTCGCCGCCCCAGGTCCCCGACTCTCTGAGGTCGACAATTTACTCCTGCAAAACCTCTAAAGAATGGAAGAGGTCTTCTTGAATTCCTTCAATTTAAACCCACACACTGCATTTTTAGAACTGGTATCACTAAGGGGAATGGATAGTCTAGAACTTTTTTATCACCACCCTTCAAGTTAGTTTTACAGAGATGGAGATGGCAAAAATAAAGCTCTATGGAAGGGGGAAATACATACACAAAGGGAAATGGGCTGTGTAAGAGATGTGTGCAGGCATGTGTGGAGAACATACCACTTCTTTTTTTTTTAATGGGGACGAGGGGCAGGGGCAGAGGGAGAATCTTAAGCAGGCTCCATACCCAGGGCTCGAGCTCACAGCCCTGAAATCATGACCTCAGCCAAGATCAAGAGTCGGATGCTTAACCAACTGAGTCACCCAGGTGCCCCAAAGATACCATGTCCAATGCTGTCCTATGTGCACATAGTCATCTTTCTGTTGTCACTTACTATGACTTAGCTCCATCCCACTTTGCTGTATGCTCTTTTTTCTTCTCTTAGATCACATTGATTGAGCCCACTGGGAATTGGGGGGGTAGTGGGGGAGTATTTTCCAAAATGTATTGTCTATGGCTATAACACCAATTTACCACACCCTAAAATATTAACCATCTTGACTACAACACAGCGTTAACAGGGATTAACAGGGTTACTCCTAAGAGGAGACAGTGAAAAAGCAAGATAAAATGTGAGTTTGGGGAGGGACTGGAAGAGATGGGGACAATGAAGGAGGAGACTTCCTTTTCTTAACTTTTATGTACTACTCTATTATTATTTGATTTTTTTCCAGTGAGCATGCACTTATTTTTTAATGAGGAGAAGTCTAGGGAGCAATAAACAATTGTTTCTATTTCTAGTGAGCCTTAAATGGGTAGACATTTTTCATAGGTTGGCATTTACTGATGAGGAAACTCAGAATACTTCTATTTCATGATCCTTTCATTTCTTTTTTATTTTTTGCACCATCTACTTTTTTCTTTCTGTTTATTACTCATATACTTAAAGGGCTGTATTAAAAAGGACCTTCAAATTATTTAAGTTTACCCACTGTGCTCAGG